TTGGTTCTACTCCCATGCTTTCACGTATCGCGAAACATTTCACTCTTTTCCCTATCTCTGGCCGCACTGCCGCCGTACTCCCGCAAAATGGACACATCCTAATTCCATCAAGGAGGTGAAATAATCGCGGATAGAGGGATAGACCGCTGCCGAATGGAGCAAATGCTGCACCGAGAGCGATTTTCTTGAGAGAAACGTTCCACAATACCAATTCGCAAGTGCAAACTTAACTTTGATACAAAATCACACTTTACACCTGCTCATTCCCCGGATTTATTCGCCGAGGAATTTCTGTTTATAAAAATTTATCCGTAACCCCGTTACGCGAATTCACAGAAGAATTTTCAACGATATTAATCGTACTTAATCGGCGATTAAGAACGCAAGAGTGCACATACCCCGGCATCCATCATATTCAACGATCCATTCACTTCAATCCTTTGTGAAGGATCGTCTGACTTTTCTTATCCACAATTCACTTGAGCAACTTTACGTGAAATTAATTTTCTTTGGTCTTTTTGCAATTACATCTATTTGCAGTATGTATTCGAAATTTGTAGCAGTAAAATATTCAAACCCAACGCTGTAACTTAATATTGTCGCGTTTTTTGATAAGCGCAAGCACAATGAAAACCGTTATATTTCTACGAAAAAAACAAGTGAGAAGAGAAAACGGCTGAGGAACTTGCTTTGGCGAAAGATAATAGGAAAAAGACTAAAGAGAGACTAGCGAGAAGCTCTGCTTGAGTTAAATTAAAAATACATTCTTTTCAACTACCGGGCACCTAACACCATCTCCGTCTTCGGACGTCACAGTGGTCGCTTATAAATTCTTGGCTGCATCGCCATGCACTTGGGAAAAAATTATATCTCTCATGAAATAAATCCCACTCATCATGCTCTACCGTCGCGTGACGTAATGCGCCGCAAACGAGCAGAAAAGTGAGGAGTCGAGTCAGATGATTGGCAATTTTATCATAATAATGCGCACTCGTCATGCCCTGTGCAACGTTTCTCAGCAAAGTACAAAAATCCACAAAGCGCAACAACTTTTCTATTCCCCTAACCGTGCACTGTTGTTCATTTCTCGAAATAAACTCGATCTAAAAAAAAAAGAATATTTAACAAGAGATACAGAAATCATAAACCAAAACACGACGCAACAACTTGTATCAATATCAAGAATAATCTTTCAAAAGTGTACCGAGCAATAGAAGTGTCGCCGTGTATGCGCGTATGAACAAATAATCTAAAATCACAGAGACCTCGGTCCGCCGAGTTTGTCATCGCGAGATGATTATTGTTGTATTTCAATCAAAATCGAGGGTCTTTTATTAACAGATCTCGTATAACGGAAGTCATGCACGATCGAAATGTTACACAACACTGCAAAGCAACTTAACAGAATTGTTACTTATAATTCCGTTGTTCAATCCATAATAAGATCAAGTGCATGCTGTCTTGCAATTTCATCGCGTGCAATTTGTGCTTTATTCATTCTTTATGAATGAAACACTGGTATTATGTACAATTAACTTGAGAACGATAACGATGGATGCGAGACCGTCCAAGCGAACTGCAGCGAAGCTTTTCGATAAAGCACTTTTCTAATTGTTTTCGTGGACGAATCTCGCGCGGCCTCGCAGCATGTGTGGTACAGCAAACCTCCGTCGAACAAATGGATGAAACTCTTACCACGGGGTTGAGGTTTTAATGCCGATCGTATGGAGCCAATTGTTCAATTGCATTTCCGCCACGAACTTTCAAAGCGATAACCCGTAAACATTTAATAAACAATTGGAACGTCCAGCGTCTCGCAACGAATCTTTCAGCAAAATGGAAGAAAATAAGACGCGACTGTCCGGCAAAAGTCAATTAAATGACATTATTCCGTATATTACTGCAGCCGAATAAGAAACACCTAGACCAGATTCGCATATCCATATCAGGGGACACAATCATTGAACTTTCTCAGCACTACTCGCCCTTAGCAATATCTTAGCCGCCACATCGCGTACGGTACATGACTTCTCCGCTCGTATGCTGACTTTACTTCAGTTTTATTTTAACCCATAAGAGTGACATCGGCACAAAAAGGTCAAGCTTACCAAGTTGTCCGCGATATACAGGGTGTTCCAGGAGGAAAGGTCAATATTCTGGAGGTGATAGCATCGGTCATTATAAGCAAAAATGTTCATATGTAAATGTATGTTCCATCTAGACTTTCATCAAAATCTACATGGAACGGCAAGCTTCAGCTGCCAGCCTGAACCCGAAATATCTGCATTCGATACGTATTTCTATGAAAGATTCTCATGCGAGGATTGTTTTCCAGCTTTTCCGCTCAACGCAATTCTTCCCCCGTCGTCTCTGCGCGGAGATTTCAGTTTATGAACAGCGACAGAGTCGTAATAGGAACTAAATACGGGCTATCCGGCGAACCGTTCGCAGGCGGATTTCTAATTAAAAGCGGATGACCCGTGAAAACAGTCGACGGATAGTATTCATTGGCGTCCTAATGCACATTTAGCGTAACTTGCGCCTAATCCGTGAATCGCCCGTATACGGCAAGTGCGCGACGCAATTACGCAAATACTTCAAACGCGGAGACGGTATAGCATTAGTTGGCTCACAGAGACGCGAGTTGTCACAGAAATTCCAATCTGGCGGCGCGAGATGCTCAATATCGAAAGATGGCTCACCTGAATTCCTACGAGATATGTTGGTGTTTGGTATTGCGTAAGTTTTATTTCGCATAACGTTAATTTCTTTATAGCCTCGGTGATCGAATTGGCGAGACGCCCGCCCAGGGTGTAGGGAAGTCCAGGTCTAGACCCTGGCTGAGATGATATTCTTTCGCAATAAATCGCCTCTAATTAACATTGCCAGTTGTGTCGGTTATCAATTTTCCTACACTGACAATTTCTTTAGTTTATAATATTGCGTTTGAGTATTAGCCAAGATGCATTATAGAAACTCTCGCTGTGCAACACAACTGACGATACCAAAGTTTTCAATCCTGTTAACGTTCTGGATTATTGCTGTCGGCATAGCCGCCGCTCACGATCGAGCCAGTTGCTTCTTTTACCAATCCTTTATGAACAATATATCGCACAAAGTAACATAATGATCGTTTCGTTACGTGAGTGACAACACGTTTCACGAGACAATTCGATTTGTCTTGCAGACACGCGTCGCCCTCGATAACGATCTCGATTACTCCTGCCCGAGACACAGCTTCGCTCACGCGATTAGAATTGATTCTAATTAGACCTCAGTGTAAATCCCGTATTAGAAGACTACGGAGCAGGACGCGCGGCGCGTACTTGGGCTGTTCGGAGACTCGAATACTATTACCGGCGTCAGATCTATTTAATTGTTGCTAATGCCAGTTCTAATGATCCGTTTCCAATCTCCAGTCCGACTGCACATCCAGGTTCCACCGATTCTCACCAAGCCCGAATACAAATCGAAAATAGATCAAGCGTAAATTTCTCGTCTCGCGAAGTAGAATTTTCCGAAACGTTTTCCGATGTAAAGATGCGACACCTTGTTCTTTTTTCGTTTTAAACAGAACTCTCTTTGAAATGCTAAATATTTAAAATAAATCGCATCATTTTCATGTAGGCGCGGGCAAAGAGTTGGCGTTTCGCATACGTCTTGTACTTGAGATCCTTAAAAGGATTCAAGGTAGCTCCGTGAAAGCGGGCTGATAATAATAATCCGTATCGTAGGAGTTTACGTCCGAGTGGAAGTACAGGATTCCTGGACCGGTGTAAGTTTGTCGTCGGTGACGGCTTTGTTTAATCGTCACCTAATGTCTCTAATGTCCCGGTCTAACCCTTCGTTCGTCCAGGGAAATTGCCTCGCGGTATAGTCCTTCTGGGAGATCTAAGCTATACCGAGCGTAAAGCCCGATCTCTATTGTGAAGTTCTCAGCTCAACCTCGCTTTGACGTCTCTGCGTAGGATCAACTAGATTGTTGAATCAGCGAATTGCTGTTCGATGTTTGCGGAATGTACATCGATCGTCGTACGTTTATAACCACAGATCAACGGGCAGCCCCACACAGAAAGGACGTACAAATCCGATTGATCGAATTCGACGGTTAATCGCATCGCCAGAATACATCAATAATCAGATATAAAATACATTCGTACGTATTCGGGGAATTGTTAATCGTTAATAAGCTTTCATTAGATCCCGTTTACGGGATCGCGCGAGGATCGGGAAAAGCAACCAAGGGATTATGAACGTTATAATCAATTTTCTGTAGAAGTCTATACGAGCGTATGTACATATTACAATCAAATATGCGTATATCCCGAGTCGAAATTTTGGTTCTACGTTGAACTTTTAATTCTATTATATAGTAGGACCTAAAACAATAACAGAGGTCGAACTGCAAGTACAAAGTTTACTCCTACTTTAAAACCGATAGTGTCGGAAATTTCTACTTTTGCCAATTTAGCAGTAAAGCAGGTCCTTTTAAGTAGGAGCTAAAGTAATTTTTTAGAATTAAAGCTTCAAGGGAGGAGTAAAAAAATATTAAGTCATCAAAGTAGGTTATCGCTGATCTATGTAGGTGTACAGATCAGCTAAGTAGGTATCCTTAAAAGTGTCAAAATGGTACCAAAACTTCGACTCGGGATCACAATTGTAAGAAGGATTCAATTCCCTCGAGATCTTTGAAATAGTTTGGAAACAAGTCCGTACCGGAACAAGTCGTAGCAGGTTTTAGCCAATGCTATTGGATTAAAGCGAAAAAGGTTGCTCGCTAGCAGGTTAGCTAACATATCCGACACGCAAAGCTCACTCTACTTAGTACAACTTAATCCTTTTTAATTAAATGCCCTCCCGATCATCTTGTCTTCTACCGGAAGCACTCTTTTAGATTTTCTCTTGTACTCTTGGCAAACCTTCTACTACTCGCGATAACCGGAGCACAAGATATGAGAGAGACTTATTCGATATTGGCAAAATTAATCACAGTCACATACCTTAGCCAGTGTCTTTTCGTAAGAGCCGTGTGACAGCAGATAGCATCGTATTGATCGGCAAGCCACACTATCAAGATTATGTAAAACGCAGTGGTTGTGTCATTGAAAAATTCCGACATAAGCGCCTCCATCCCTAAAAACAAACAAGCAGAAGTGTCTAGCATGAGTTGATGACAACAATATTATAAAATGGCGTTTACAAAGTACAATAATACAGTGTTTCGAATTGAAAAGTGTCAAAAGGGTAATCGATGTTATCGAACGGATGCGAGCGCGTGTCCCTATCAATATCGGATAGTTTCCACGCAATTAAAACTCCGATAGCGGAGTTGCGTGAGATTCGTTCTGCGTAAATTTACAACGTACGGCCGTTATGTTCTAAAAACGCTAAACGTTCAATCTTACTTAACGAGTGAAGCATTGCCGCGTGTTAAAATATCTGCGGAAACGCGACGGGGATGCAAACGGAAATGCATATGTACACAATATATTTGCCAGGGTGTTTCCTAATGGATAGTAACGACACAAGCACTCGTGGGGGAAATGATGCAGAAGTGACAAAGGAGTGCTTAATATGATCGCGAGAAACAAAGGAAAGCATTCGTCCTCTTAGTCACCCTCCGATCATCGCCCTTTGTTATCGCTGGCGCACGTGGTCGCGTGGTCGAGCCGGTGTATTGGCTCCAGTCAGATTCCATTTGGTCGATTTTCGAAAAATGCTCTCCCGTAAGTCGGAAAGGAGTAGACGTGCGCGCGTATATTACGTGGGAGATCGTCGTGGCAGTGGTAGATGAAGGCGCCCCAGGCGCGCGACCAGCGAGGATGGATGGTCCCGAGACTAAGGGCGCGACGTTAGATAATTAGTTTCTCGATCGGACACAACGCGACGGAACATGGAAAGAAAACAACGCCGCGGGAATGCTAATGAGCGGGGCTCACGTCGCTCGTATCCGGGGGACGTACGCAACACGGCCAAGATACAGAAGTACAAATCGACCAAGAGACGTGGTCTGACAGCGCTCACGGGGGTGGCCCGACAACGTGAGAAATTACTTCTTAAGAGAGCAGGGCGGCCGATTGTCTCGCGAAGAAAAGGAAAATCACTTATGCCGCTATTGTAACAAAAAAGTAATGTTTGCATTGGGATTTTTACAAATATACAAATGCTGCCTACAAATTATCGTCTTTATTCACGTCTATCGACCCTTCGATAAATCTCGGTTCGATTTATCGCCGTGAAAAATCCCTTCGTTTCTCTCATCCACAACGTCAGGCACCTCGGTGAGAAAGCCACGAATAAAATGTCTGTTGCTGTCCTCAGTCAAATCTTATCCTTTGCCTCTCGTTTATAAAGAAGAGTAAATAAGTGTCCGGGAATTGATTGTAAAGAAAAGATATCTTCCACCCCGAGTCGAAATTTTGCTACTACTTTGCTACACTTTTCAGGATAACTTACACCTACTTAGATCAGCGATAACCTACTTTGATGACATTATATTTTTTTACTCCTCCCTTGAATCTCTAATTCTAAAAATTTACTTTAGTTCCTGCTTAAAAGGACCTGCTTTAATGCTAAATTGGCAAAAGTAGAAATTTCCGATACTATTGGTTTTAAAGTAGGAGTAAATTTTGTACTTGCAGTTCGATCTCTTTTACTGTCTTCGCTCCTATTATATAATAGAATTAAAGGTTCAACATGGGGTCAAAATTTCGACTCGAGTATTGTGTCATGTTATGTATCGCTATCTTAATTTTGCTTTTCTCACTGATCTTTCTCAAATTATATATTTCTGTAATTATTGTTTTCTGTTAATCTTGCTGTACACTAGTTAAGATACATTGTCATAATCCGTTACATTGTCACTACTTAGAGAACTTAAGTCTCAGAACGTTCAATAAATAACGATTCTAATCCTGATTTTCTCTCTCTCTCTCTCTCTTTTTGAACCTCATATCGTCGCCTCGAATTTTATTCGCTAAACGACGATGTACGTTACTCTAAACTAAGCAATCGAGGTAACTTCGGGATCCAACCAGACTTTGTTAACAATAGGAATAATAGGATGCGCGTGAATCAGTTACATATTGGCCGGTACCGGAAGGATCGTTAACATCGGATAATGCACTCGTTTAAATGCATACTAGTCGAACATTACCTCACCGCGTAGGTAAGCCTTTAACGCGGTATCTTGCCGGAGAACCATCTAACCCCCGATCATATCCCCATTTTCCTTCCCCCTTGATTTTTATAAAAACGTTCAAATTCCGGATACGACAAAGAGCGGCTGGGATCTATGTTCCAGTAATCTTTCGAGATTGAAATTGCACTGGTATTTTTCTTACGATACCCGAGTCGAAATTTTGATACTGTCTTGACACTTTTAAGGATAATTTACACCTACTTAGCTGATCTATACGCCTACATAGACCAGCAATAACCCACTTTGATGACATTATATTTTTTTACTCCTCCCTTGAATCTTTCATTCTAAACATTTACTTTAGCTCCCACTTAAAAGGACTTCGACTGGGGTAAAGTACTAATTTTACGTTGTGTGCGCAGAGAGAGAGAGAGAGAGTGACTGAAATATTCTTTTTGACAAGAACGTAATTCGTCGCTTGTACCGGAGGCTTTAAACAAAAGACGCGAAATTTATGGACCGGGGGCGATGGAAGCGGACATTGCTAATGAACGATCTCGCGCAAAACACTGTGATCGAAACTGACGGCGGAAGCCCTTTACGGTTACAGTTTCCCAAAACTGCCGACTGACAGCGGGTTGACGAGTCATAACTAATTCGAGGCCGTGACAGCGCGCATGTGGCACAGCCCACGCACGGTTTCACGCGTAATTGAGTGCGTATGCTTCACGCCGTCCACGGCTCGCCGGCGCCCGATGTCGATGTCGGCTGATGGAGCGTGAACTTGGGCCTTGTAAATAGGCAACGGTTCCAAATTAATGCATCTGTTGATTCTACGTGACAAAACGAGCGGTGGAAATGTCAAACGCTCCGAATACGAAATCTTTATCCCGTCTTATAAATCTATTTAGAGTTCAGAGATAAGAGGTAACTTGCACAATGTCCAAGCGCGGTCGTCCCATACAGCACAAATAATGTTAAAGAAACGTTGCTGAGCTAAGATTGGATTATTATTTTAGTGGAACAACTCAATGTCAGCACTTCCAACAGCTGTAAAAAATATTCTGCTAAACGCGACCAATGTTAACTCAATATAATTTAACAATGTTGTCCGAATGTTGAATTGTTTACAAGACATTACAATTCAGCGGACATTAGACGTTTTTGCAATATCTTTTCAACGCTGAATCTGCATTTCGTAACATTGGCGCAATATTGCAATGTTGTAATGGTACACTGAAAAAAATTTCTGGTTGAATATGGACGAATCAGATAATTCCTTTAGGATTTACCAGAATTCCTTTAGGATTTACCAGAATTTCTGTAATCCTACAGAAATTCTGGTAAATCCTAAAGGAATTATCTGATTCGTCCATATTCAACCAGAAATTTTTTTCAGTGTACGTTTCTGAGATGTTGATTCAACATTTGTATACTGTATGGGCATACGTCAAAATTAGATACCTCCTCCAGAAATATATCACGTTCAAGACGTACAAATATCACGGGCGACTATCAGGTTTCGAAAACAGTGCTTTCATCGGTAATTTTAGAAATACTCAAGCCAGGTGTACCAGGCCAAGAAGGAAATAAAATATTACTTGTCCTTCGGAATAATACGTGCCGTTGCCCCGAGCTGATTCATTAGCCGCGTGATTAGTCGCGCGAAGAATTATGCGTATTCGTGTGTGTATAGCACGTAAATTCATATCTGACAATGCGAAATGGTAGTGGAATGTGCGTCGCGCGCATATTTTCTGAAGAGGCGGTAGCTAATAATGTGGTTAATCAATGGTCAACTGTGTACGGCCATCGCTCACGTGTCATCGGCATCGAGTCGAGCTTGGCCGGTGCCAATATTGCGCGCAACACTCGGCAGAATCCATTCCCCTTCTCTCTTGCCATCTAATGGACATAATATTTCCCGTTGACCGACCACTGCGAACACATTTGAGTCTGATCGAACGCGAGATTCGATATATTTGATCGAATGCGAATAAATACGAGCCGGCTGGATCCTCGCGGAATTCTTTTGCCCAAGGCCGCTGTCGAAAGAGTGTCAAAATTTTGACTCGCTTGTCAATATGGAAACTAATCTCAGATAGATTCGCGAGCACCTCGTACTCTGGGGGGGAAAAGAGGCAGTTAGCAACCCATTTTGAAAGACTGCTTACAAAGAAACACGGTCAAAGTTTTTCCCAGAGTAGAATTACGAGCAGTCCAAATAATTCCATTACTGATTGTGGGCCCCAAAAGGGGTTGCTGTCTTTTTTTTCCCCCCCGAGCGCGAATGGGGCACCACCGAATTACAGCTACGCTGCACGTAAATTTCTTCGGAAATTCGTTTACAAAGCTCGTCGCGGTTCGGTTACTAATAAAGATCTGCGTATAACTGTTAGCGACCGCTGTCAACTATACGGGTCCTATCTCCGTCGGAGACACATTCGCGTCTTGTGTAACGCTCGGCTGTATAAACTCGCAGATCTCCTTTCGCGAAGTGACTGTTGACGAGATAATTAGGAGCGAAATCGTATTCGTCAAAGCATGGAAGATTTAATCAAGGACCAATCAGAACTCGTATTAACCGTCGTATGTCAGAAGCAGAACGGTATCGTAGAGTAGCGAGTCCCGGGCAAATTATCCGCCGCTGTATACCGGGATCTTCGCCGCTGACGCTATATTGTGCTTTGGCGGCAAAAGCGGTTTTAGAGGGAGGCCTGGCAAAGCCGGGGCGAAGCAGGGGCCGGCTATAGACTGTATAGACTACAGTTTAATCTGCTCTAGCGCCATCATCTAGCCATCCCATTGCATACGTCGGCACCTCGCACACGCGGAACCGTAATCGCGATAATTTGCTGCCTAATCGCAGCATTATGAAAGCGAGTTGTATCTTGCCTTACGCGTGATATTGCGAGCGGCTTCCTCGATACGTCATACCACGTGAAACACGCGTCATTTTTACTCGTTATACACCGCCAATGCGAATGGGCCTGGTGCCGTAGCGCGCGCACGCCTAAGCGCGTTCCTTTTGTCGCGATGACAGTCGAGCTACGTATTAAAAGCCATTTATGCCCTTTAATCCACAAAGGCTGCAAACGCCCGCGCTCACGCGCCTGTACAAAATATGCTAATATGTATACGGCAGCCTCGCATCGACGTTGTAAGCAGATAAACGGAATGGTGCGGGTGCAACGTGTTCTGACCGTCTCTGAAAATGTGTTTACGGCATGTTAGGCGGTCGATCATGCGTCACTGATGCACAGAGGCGCCGGTGCGCCTTCGTTCTTTGACGTTCCATTATGCAAAATCGTCTTCCACGTCGTACCTGATGCCAAATGCCGAACGACGCGTGGACGATTTGACGTGAATTCACGCTGATGATGCCGCGGGCACCCGCCAGACAAAATACTGCCCATCGACCGCGTAAACGCAAGGACGGAAATTGAAAAGGATTGCCTCGAGAAAATGTTACGCAAGATAATCCAATGTAATCTAAATGCTAACGTAAATAACGGCATACATTTCAAAATCATCGCGAAAATTTCTTATAGAGTCGCCCGCGCCCCAAGGTACCCAGGGCTTCCTTCAACGAGTCATATTATTACGAGGACATTGCTGGAATATTGCCAGAACTTAATTGTTACCCAATGCAAATCTACAGCACTGCCGGACTATTGCACGCGTCTCGACTATCGTACACTGAAAAAAATTTCTGGTTGAATATGGACGAATCAGATAATTCCTTTAGGATTTACCAGAATTCCTGTAATCCTACAGAAATTCTGGTAAATCCTAAAGGAATTATCTGATTCGTCCATATTCAACCAGAAATTTTTTTCAGTGTACGTAATAATATGACTCGTTTACCAGAATTTCTGTAGGATTACAGGAATTCTGGTAAATCCTAAAGGAATTATCTGATTCGTCCATATTCAACCAGAAATTTTTTTCAGTGTATAAATCGGGAAAGATTGAAAACGGACGAGAGAAATGCAGAAGTACTAAAATACGAGAAAGAAGAGCTGCGATATATATATATATATATATATAATATCCTCTTTGGCCGAAAAGTAACGTGTAACGAAGGAGCTAGAGAAGGTTTAGGAGGCTGAAAGAGTCGCGGGATGACGGATGGAGAGAGCAGGAAGCGACATAGGAACCGGAACCTATTACTCCAGATAACAACTTCCCTAAGGCTCCCTTTCCTTCCCCTACTTTCAGCTACGTTGACTCTATGTGTTTGTATGTACACATATATATACACATACACACACACAAGTGCTGTATATATATTTCGATTTTTGTACATACGATCCTCCTGGCAATCCCCGTAACGGAGGGAAAGGAGTGCAGATCCGGAAATTTACCACTTCTGTTGCCATTTCGCTCGGCTGCTTGCTGACCGCGCAACTGGTGGCATACGTATAAATGAATGGATTCCCCACTGAACCGTACATGAACCATTTTTATTGTGAAATATATAGATGAAGTTACGATCTTGATCCCTATTTAACTAAAATTAACGACCGGCACTGTTATAGCATTGACAATCGGAGGATACTACATGGATCATCAAAAGCACTGCGGGCGCGCAAGATCAAGACTGGAACAATATATTACGATTCTCTGTGCTTGGCGAGCGCGCAGCTTTATCGGAGATTACAAAAAAGCTGAAGGATTAAAACGATCAATCTAACGTTTCGGCATATTATATCGAGACGGCCGTGGGATAAAACTCGTGGGGCAAAAGCGGCTGAACCAATTGAAGCTCGTTAACGACTGGAAGAGGTAGTGCTTGTCGAGGGAAATAATTTATCGCGCACAAAAGTATCGCGCCGCAAGGGGAGGAAAGGAAGAGTGTAAATCCAGATTTTATCAATGTTTTCAGAGCCGTTGGATGGAGGCGGGAGGATTAGAGACGTCGTATTTTATGCAGGTCAATTGGTCCATTGGTACCAGTGGACACGCGAAGCGTGAAGAGGAGAGATATTCAGGTCGAAATGGAAATGGGTGTCGCGCGACGCCGCCGCCACTGCTGCTAAATGGGCTCCGAGCGGGTTACCCAACTGTTGCGCCTTCATCAGAAATTTATGCAGAATCCTGGGTTAACCGTCCCGGCCAATCAGCTTTGTAACCGAGCTAACGTCCTACCGGCGAGAATACGAGAGAGCAAGGGCAGTCGTGATTTAGTAAAAAGGTATTTAATATTTCACTCGCACATCGCGACCGAACCCCGACGTTCTCGCTCGAGAATTCGCAGCCGATTGATTATTCTAGCTAAAACGAATCACCTCTCATCGAACCGCTTTCCGCTTTCAAAAAATTGCAATGTTAAAAGTAAAACTGACGCACGAAAATCCAAGAACCATGTTTGCATTTAAATGGAAAGTCCGATGAATGTAAACGCCATTCAGCGAAGGTATTTCATTTTCCGCGCAACATTTTCCCACGGAACGTGGCAAGAGCAAGAATAAAATACGCTGATAAAAGTAATTAAAAAATTAGTACCTAAAAGATACAAGAGACTTACCTACTAACGCCAGGACCACTGTCAGTAGGGAGGCAGCTGGCAATGACACGGTTAAGTTAAACTCCAACATTTGTATGAGGTCAACTGAAACAGAATGCAGAAACGCGAGCTTTAGAGTTAAGCTCACATGAACGCGTACAATTTTCTATTTTCTATTTTATTAATTTCTATTTTCTATTTACTCGATTATTTCGTGAGAGAAACATGTACATCGGAACAATTTTCCATAGAAAATATTTGGGAAAAATCAAACATTATATATATATATATATATATATATATATATAATACGTATATGTACACGCACACACCATCGCACAAGTTGATCGCAAGGATAGAACGCTATGTGGAAATCGTTATTCCGGTCGAGGAACGGCTTGAATTTAATATTTATCAGGCACATCGTGGTGAAGACTTCGCGAGCAGAAGGTTATTACGTAAGTTTAGCAACACCGTGAAGGAATCGTGTCGCGTTCGACGAGTCGGCTCAAAGCTTGATACGAATTAATTGCGAAACTTCATCAATCCTGATTTAAATTCCACGGAACTTTCTATCGGTGCTTTAAGCACTCCTCGCACACTTAGTATTGATTTATTTCTCACGCCCGTCTTGCTAAATGTATGATAAATATATATCACAAGATATCACAAGACGTGCGTAATCTCGCATAATCGCTCGAAAGCATTTATTCCCATAGATAGTAACCCTTTGAAGAACGGTGTAACATATACGTTGCACCTCCCGAAATGAAAAGAACCAACCCTTCTTTCACTCCGATGCCTTTACTACTGCGTATCTAGATTTGTTTTATTCGCTAATTCTGAATCTGAGGCCGACAGTCTAAAATTATTGACGACAGACTCAGTGTAGCAGCTCAAAGTTAAAGTTTTAATTTAAAAATTTTGTTTTCTATAACACGTCCTGAACTCAAAAAAAATCATTCCTACAAACGACATTCCGAAACTACGTATCTGGGGATTTGTGAGATCATTGATTTCCAATTTAAGATCAAAACTTTTTAATTCTAAAACCCGAGACGGCGGTTCCAATATAAAGAATCGAAATTGCAAAAAATACAATCGATTTATCTGGAACTCGGTGCTCGAAGTTTTTCAGGTTTTGCTGACATCACACATACGAGGCCAGAATTACAAAGTTCATAATGGCGGATCCAAGATGGCGCCTGAAATTCAGCATTTGAATTTTGTCATTCTGACACCCGAATCGTAATCAGCGACCCAAAAAACCCTTAAGTATTAAGTTTCAGAAAAATCGGCTGAAAGGAAAAATGTACGCTCCAAAGTGTTAAATTAAACGTAGAGATTGACGCGCGAGATTTAGGGGCGCGAAAATTTTATGTTTACAACTTGTTTGAATAATCTGCGACACCGTCTTGCAAGTCGATGGTCGCGCAAGACCCGGGGATAAATTAAAAATTCATAATCGCATCGTTCCGTGCCGCGCCCGCCATGGGTGCAACAAAGCAATTAAAAAGTTAATACCGTCACTCGTCCCGTGGACGACCCACCGAGCGCGAGCCGCGCCTTCTTTATAGGATACGCAGTGTCGTACCTTACAAATTTGCGCGACACTCCTGGCGGTTCAATTTAATGAATTTTAGATTTTAACTTATCATCTACTAACTCTCTACCCTCCGGTTATTAAAACTTGGCCGCAATCCTTCGTCCTGTCCCGCATAATCCCCTCTCTAACCAACGCCACGTGTATCTCTTACGTTTATGTCTTTTTTCTCTTTTTTTTCCACGTTAACCGCTCTATCCATTTCGCTTTCGCTGTAATTAGACCGAATCTATTAAATACGTTGTGTGCAGAAAGCAGCTAAATTATCATACACCCGCATTAAGTCCCCACTCACCGATAGCAATGACGTTGTAATTTCTTAAATGCCGAACAAGTTGAATACGAAAAGTTTACGTAGAATTTTATTGCGCTTTTTTTCATTTTCGCAAAGAGCACACGTCTAATTTTGCGATTTAATCACAGTTTGCAATCTCAAACGAATTTTTCCAAGGAAACTTCGAAAACGAAAAAAAAACAAGAAGTAAAAAATATTTCAAATAAATATAAAATATTTTAAATAAATTAATACTGACCCGAATATGGAACATGCATTTAATAGGGGTTCCATTATCATTACCATGTCTAAAAGACATCTTTAATACGTCTTTAAGACGTCTTTTAGATATGTATGCCTAAAAGACGATTTAAAGATGTCTTAAAGATGTCTGTTCGACATGCGTGCTGTACGGGAGGATACAGCGATAGCGATAATCTTATCCAAACAATTCCATAATCAAAATCCTATAATAATCCTTGTAGTTGCATCTTAAGAACAAATTTAGTTCTCACTTAGTCTTATCTCTTATGTCGTTTTGGCATTAAAAGTAACGAAAAAGGGAACGAATTGTTGCTTTTTAAATAATAGTAACGGTAACTAGTTACTTTTTTAATTCGGTAACAAGTAACGGTAACTAGTTATTTTTAAAAAGTGACTTTCCTATCCTTGTTAGGGGAGTATCCAAGATAGATATGAAAAGATTATGGTGGTAAGTAACAGTATACTGACATTATGTAAAAAAGGGAAACGGAATTCAATATTTGGGCCAGTTTCTCTAACACTGTAATTTCAAATCATTTCCCATTACAAATACTTAAAGAAATATTTTACATATACACGTACATATACAGGGTTAGGTTCCAAATTATATTCCAAATTATATTCCAAATTATATTCCAAAAACAATAATATTCCAAAAACCGTCAGGTGTTTATGCCCCACCCTGTACAAATACGTTTCCCAAAATAAAAATGATTTAAAGATTAACAAATTTCTTATAAAATTATTATATAAATAATCTATAACGAAGAAAATATTATATATAAGAGAGGGTATTATTTACCGATGTAACGCGTTGTACAAACAATTAATTCTGAAGCATGCCATTCTAGTTGAATCATACGTGTAGTGCAAAACAATTAAATATTTTATATTGTTTATTATAATCTCAAAATTAATTTGTATGCATTTGAAGTAACATCTGATGAGAAAATATAAAAAAAACAAGACATAAACAAAAGAAATACAATAAAGGGAAGAAGTCTAACAATAAGAGTCACTACTAATAAAAATAGACTAGCAGAAATATTATACGAATATGAATAAAAAAATACAGAGAATGAAACGAGCAAAACTTGGTCTGACATGAAACACCCAAAACTCGCAAATGGATGAAGGAAGCATGCTGCCCTTCACGCTGTTTTTCTATGCAAATTTGTATTTCAAACGATTAACCTGTGAAAATAACTTCCCTCGATGCCTCTGTTTAAACTTTCAAGTCTCTCTTTCTTTTTTTAAGCTAATTCCCGAACTGGCTATAAAAAAATCATCAAGCACACGCCATTTTGTCAAAACTTACTAAAAACAACGATTAAATTTAAATTAAAACTCTTCGATTCATCAATGATTGAGTCTTTTCAAAAATCACTTAACAAATATTGTTTCAGAAAATGGGATATTACAAAATATATAACTTATCGATTACTTTCAAATGTGACTTGAGTACAGAGTGACGCGTTACAAGTTTATAATCCAAATTGGGAAAACTCGTTGTTTATGGAAAGTAAGAAAATGCGAACGTTGAAAACATCTTAAACATTATTTTATAAGTTATACGAAATATTGTCTAAATATTATATGAGTATATAAATAGTAACAAATTATTATTTTTAAAACAGGATTACCTCGAAATTAATGTTGACAAAGTGATAATTTGAACAAAGAAATAAAAATCTTAGTACGACGTACATCAATCCTACTTAATCAAAAATAAGAGTGAGGAGGAAAATAAAAAATATTATATATGCAACGTATGTTTACGAAAGGCTACGACTGCATTTATACAATAAGTAAGTGGCTTTCAAGATCCAGAACATTGTTACGATAGGTTAGCCTTACAATAAGTTTATCTTATTTTCATTATCTTGTTATTCCCGCACATATTATTCTGGATAACAATATGATAAAAAAACATTATGATTCATTCTCATAAAAACCTCCTACCGATAAAAAAAGAAAGCTCTCATAAACATCGTAATCAATAACAAGTTCTTATTTGTAATCGTTTCTGTTGACAATTAAGATTATCTGCGCATTTCGTACTGATTAGATACAAGTAGATTGATTTCCTTATTTTTTTTTATATACTATCTATTCCCAGATAATGAATCATATCTGATTAACCACATTCGTGTCAAACGCGTCAAACGCTATGGAAGGTGTCAAATGTTTTGTTAGTTTATTATAATTACCCAGATAGCAATGCATGTCTAAAAGACGTTATAAAGGTATCTTTAAGACACTTTTTAGACGCACATGTCTAAAAGACAACTTAACGCTATCTTAAAGATGTCTTTTAGACATGCATGCTATCTGGGTGGACAGTTTATACATATTTTGTATAGCTAATACAACGAAATGGTTTCATCAGTAGTTTAAAATGATTTTATGAACTTCTGATGATAGTATTAGGAGTTAAAAAATTCTATTTTATAAATAAATGTTACTGGAAAATATTATAAATACACACATGCAATAGTACAGTATGTTGCATCAGCTATCAATAAAGTACTGTTTTGTTATGCTTATTAAAAAAACTGTCAAACGTCGAATGTTAAAAGTGACATTAAGCTACAAAAACCATAATTTGAAGAAATTTCAAAAGTACGAAAACACGAAAGACGTATTACACGATAGAGATATTCGCTTTTACATAAAGAATTAACGATATTGATTTTATTATTTCTATCGTGCTATTCGGCGAACGGTGCAAGTCATATGAGTCATTAAAAACAATCGGCAAAACACTTCAGAGTTGAAAGTCTACGCAAGTCAGGACGCTTATCGTAATATTGAGACAACGCGAGACTCGAGAGCTTACGCAAATCACACGTCGTAACATTAAATTTTTTTTATTCCTTGTTAACAAAACCTTGGTCACTTGCTTTGAGCATAATAACGCAATAATCGCAATGCACCGCAAATAAATCGTGTACTTCAATCATCTTCCAAGGTGTCCACACGCGTTGAATATCTTGAGAGTTTTGAAAATGCAATATTTTTCCAAACACAACTGTATCCTAGAATAGTGTATTGCGTACAAGATTTTTACGTTTCTCTCTTCTCCAAGCCAATCCAGAATCCGCCCACAGGTTGCAACGCAAACTCCCTTGGACCGAATACGATTGGCTCGACGGTTTTCTTCGTAGTCTTCAGAGTAAACTTTTGTAAAAGATGAGCTATGAGGATCTTAGTCTCCATGAGAGCAAATCGATTGCCGATACATTTTCTAGGCCCATGACCGAACGGTAGATAAGAGTATGGTATGACGTTGTCTTTGTTCTCCTCGCTGAACCTTTCGGGATCGAACTTTTCCGGATTCGGAAAGTACTTGGGATCGTGGTGTAAATCGTAAATGGGAAACATCAATATATTGTCCGGTTCGAGGAACACAGCCTTGCCCCCTGGTTGCGACGGAGGCAGTTCATATCTTTTAGTGCAAACTCTATCGATGAAGGGCGCCGGTGGATACTTTCTGAGAATCTCGGAGATCACCATATCCATGTAAGACATCTTCGACAGCAACTCGTAAGAAATCTCACCGTTTCCTTTGGCAAGATACTGTTGTACCTCCTCGCGCAAACGATCTTGTACATCTTGATGGACTGCCAGTTCATGAGCAGCGAAACACATCAGCGTAGCAGTTGTCTCGAAACCAGCGAAGAAAAAGATGAATGCTTGCGAAACGATGTCATCCAATGTCATTTTGTGCACACTGGCGCCTTCTTTGTCCCGTGCCTGCATTAGTAAATGTATCATATCCGGTCGGACGATATTTTGCTCTTCCCGCGCTCTAATGGTTTCCCCGACGATCTTCTTGAAAAATGTGGCCGTATCCTTTGGGAAAATGTTCAGACCAATGAATTTAGCGAGTCGTGGATAGGCGCGAAAAAATAGCATCTTGAATATCGTTAGTACTCCGCTAGCAAATTTGGTACTTTCCACTCCTCTCGTGTAAAACTCGTTGTTCTGATCCTTCATAGAATTTACTTTTATGCCAAAGGCTGTCGTGGCGATTACGTCGTTGGTGTATCGTCTGAAGGCTCCCTTGGTTTCGATCTCATGGCAGATTTCCGGATGATCGACCAGATAATTAACGAAATCGTGAGAGCATTCCGATATCAAATCAAACAGGAACTTCATCTTGCTGGCGGTAAAAGAGGGGCTTAACGTATTCCTCATTTCTCTCCAACGATCGCCGCGCAAGGCGAAGATGTTCTTGCCGAACAGCGGTTCTACGTTTTCGTCAATGAAACTGCGATGGTCTGGGAAATGGTCAAAATCCTTCACCATGACGTCTTTAATCAGCTCAGGATCGCGCAGTAACACGCTAGGTGTGTTGAAATCCATTAGTCCGACATATTTAACGTCCGGGTGACAATTGTATAGATAACGGAAATAATGGATAAAACTGATGCGACCGAACAGAAATTTCCAACCAATCAGCCATGATGACAGCGAATTTGGCAGGTAAGGAACGCCCTTATTCTTCCAGTAATAATATGTGCGATGCAGTGCACTGGCAAATTTCAGGATACCAATGACAACCAGAGTGGTCAATAGTAGCACAAAGGGCGACGAAAGCAGCCACGAAAGCAACGATGAAACCATCGTGATTCGCGACAGTGTAACAGACAAACGAGATACTTGCTCGAGTGCGGCGTAGAACGTTATAAATACGTGTCGCGCTGATCTTATCGTGAATGAAACGAAGATGGGTGGGAGAAACGCCTCTCCCGGTATTATTGCCATGTTGCGTCAGTAATTGCATGAGTTATATTAGTCAGTTTGAATGCGTATGAACTTTTCAACATATTATGAAATTTATTTTACGTTTCAAACAAAAATTGTCCACACTTTCGATGCGGAAATGATTCCTACTGATTACATAATCGCCACTAGATTCATCACGTGTTTCTCACACGTGTGTACAGTGAATTTAATATCTGATATAGTCCATAAAACGACATAGAAGTAACTAATGTGAATTAGCGGGAGTGTGTAAAATTCAAGGTTTTCTTGCTTTATTCTCCAAGGGCAAGTTTCACAAACGTTGATTAACTGTTAACCGAAGGTTAATTGATTCTCTGTCTCTTCTTAGATAAGACAGAAAAAGATAGAGAGTTTACTGAACTCTGGTTAGCAGTTAACCGACGTTTGTGAAACTGGCTCTAAATCGTCAATTGTTTCAGAGAAAAGAAACATAAATATGAAAGCTTTCCTACATGACACTTTTGGAAAAGGGATTCGACTGTTACTTCCGAATTTAAATGAACTTTTTATTCGAAATTGTACAACGCACAATATATGCAAAGTACTTATGATGAACGCCAGTTGAGTTTTATATTTTTATTTATAATCTTATAAAATTAACGTACTAACTTGAGTTTAGAATTATGCAAATTTTAAACCCTCCCCCCCCCCTCTTTTTCTCTAGACAAAATAAATTAAAATGTTAATAATTTTATCACTCACCGATAAAGACAAAGATCTGATGATGCGAGTAGCGCAGTAACATCGAGATGGACACCGTCTGAAACGATAAAAAGCAAAAACGTTGTTCAGTCAAATAGCTCCGAGAAGATAATCATGTCGCAATTAGCACGATTGATACTGATTAAAAATGCCAATCGGTATTATGAATTACTATTCTGAAATTTTGCCCGAGTAACTTTGACAAAGTTACGGCGTCACGTAAATTGCGAACTGGTCGCTCGTAGTCGGTTAGCGCGTTGAGCGAATGTTGAAATTGAATTGCGATCGGTTCAGATTGAACCAGCACCTGACACCCTCGAAGATAATCCGTTATTTGCAACAGGCAACCTTAACGGCAGCCGTAACGGGGTCGTTCGATTCTACCTTGTACGAATGCGCAGATGTTATTAAAAAAGCAGCAGGAAGAAAATGAAAAAAAAAGAGAGAGAACTAATAAAACCAGTTTCTCATTACCTTCTCCGAAAGAATGATATCGATGTAGTAGCTTGGACTAGGGCTGTTACTTTTGATAACTTCGAAGATTCGAAGCTTCGAAAGAATTCGAAGCTTGGAAGTTCGAATTTAACTAAGTTGCGTTTCTGTTTGCACTTGACATGGCTGCGTAACAAGGTAGGCCTATAATTATTTTGCGACACTGCGCAATGCCTGTATACCCCTCTCACGTAATTTATATGTAAAAATACTCTTAGATCCCACTTGGTAAGGACCTAAACCAAAGGTCGGAACGTTGTGAAAGCTAATGTAATGAATGTGGTGTAGGTCGATTGAAATTTGAAACTTTAAAATAAGATAATAAGATAAGGTAACGCCCACTGGTAGGCACTGGTGTACATGATTTCGCCCAGCGGTTTACTCGGTATTTTGCAAATCAATTTTCGAAGTAGCAATGTAATTCGGAATATCTCTATCTTCCCCCGGCGTATTCGACTTCAATGTAAACTGAACATTCGTGCACCCTTCTAAGAATTGCCATTAAATCAGCACTGTTCTAAATTGATGAAATCCTCTTTCGCTTTTGTTGACGCGTCGCGCTAATAGACCAATAGACATCTCTTATGGTAAATCTGACTATTCGACACGGTATCTATCATGGTACAGTCGTGATCGGCAATCGAATTCGATATAAGAGACGCGAATTCACCCCGGAGGGTGAAGCGCGAATGCGAGCGACAAACGCGCGCGCACAGAGGCAAACAAGGAGAAAGATAAAGGAAGAGGGAATAGTATTTCATACTGGATCACATTGTAACGGAGCGCCGGACGTCGCGTGCACATGACAGAGGAGATACACGATGATACATGCACGACGACAGTCGTGTGCACGTGACTCGGGACGGCGGGCCAGCGGGGGTGAACCCTCCAGGCAGCCGGGGCTCGAATTCACGTGTCGCGGCACGAGCAGCCAACCCTTTACCCGATACCGGCGCCGCTCCGTTCCGCACATTGCAAAACGAACCGCATTGTGCGATCTAAAGAACAAAATATCTCACCGCTGAGCGGCAATCCGAGTCACGAGTTGTGCCTGCGGACTGCCGCGGAGACGAGCGGACGCGCGAACCCTACTACATGCGAGACAACAGGGACGGCGTGCAGCTCTCGCAATTCGATTTTCCGCGGGCGAGACGTTCAGTGCTCGCTATGATAAAATTGTCAACGATATGTATATCTTCTTCTAGTCTTCTATAAACGCCGTCGTAGAATCTCAGGGTGTCCAGCAAACTCAGTGAAAAACATTCCCTGACTTTTTCAGGTTTTCCGGGAGCTGGAATTAATTGTTCCCTGACCGTTCAGTGCAGCTTTTCTCAAGATGCATAATTTGCGTGCATCTGTATGGTAAATGGTAGACGACGAAGTCCTTGAAATATTTTTCTCGGGAGACAAAAAGTCCGGAACTTAAAAAGGTACAAAAATTTTAATTAAAACAATTATACCGTCTATGTATAACATTTTGTTTGCAACTTACTAGATAGTAGCTTACTTAGCTGGTACTGTTTAGTAATTCATCGTTTTTTATAGTTTTGCCTCAGTTGAACACATTGAAATAAAATAACACGAGGATGAAAATATAAATTACCGATCGCGCCTATAAATAAATTGATGTTTAGCATAACGGAAAGTTAGTCTACTGAGAGCCAAAGAAAAGTTTATTTTCTAAAAGCTTTAAATTATTCGGAAAAATGTGAAACGATGTAAAAAAAAGTCAGAAAAATCGTACATTTCCGGATTTCTACAATTCCCCGACAATTCCCGGTTTTCCAGATTTCCCTGACCACTGGACACCCTACGAACCTACGTAAAACGTAGGTGAAAATAAAAAAGCAGAAAAGAAAGAAAGAAAAACTCGCGATTGACGCGTCATTGTAAAGAGTGACGATTTTAATTATAATCGTTATAACGCGCGAAACATACATTACTATTAAAAGCATCGTGTCATCATTAGGAGTTTCGCCGGTGATCTCGACCACAGTACGCCGCAATCTATTCCACCACAATTTGATACAAAATTACCGACATGGGGCCACTACGACGAATACGATGCCTCTAATAACCTTGATTTATACCCGACGGTTCAGCTCCAAAGGGATCGCGCGTGGATGAGGACACTGGGGATAGGAAAGCTATGCGCAGACAGGTTACTTTAGTGGATGGTTAGCTCGGATTGATTGCTATATCATTTTACACGTGTTAGGCTGTCGTATAGGTGAGCGTGAAATCGTTGCTCTGATGGCCAGGAATTTATTATCGCCAAAAAATGGGGGGAGTACGGACAAACTTGCGATTCAATGGAGCAACGATCTTGTGGTTTTATATTTTCGACGAAGTACACTACAAATACGAAGAAATAAATGATGTACGAGCCAAGATGGAATGTTAATGTCTAAATGATTTAAATTTTTTATTTATTGCGGAAAACTTGCCTCAGTCAAAGTTCGAACTTGGGCCTCTCTCTTAGCAGGCGGGCGTCTCACCAATTCGACCGCCGAGGCATGTGGTAATATTTATCGCAATAAGTTGCCTCGGTGAGTCGAATTGGCGAGACGCCCCCGTCTAGTGAGTGGGAGGTCCAGGTTCAAACCCTGGCTGATTGTGAGGTCAATTTTTCGCAATAAATTTAAAAATTAAATCATTTAGACATTAACATCCTGCCTTGGCTCTTATATCCTTAATTTCTTCGTATTTGTGATTTCAGAGCCTTATGAAATTTTTATATTTAAAATTTATTATGTATTGAACGTATAGATATTAATTTTGTACTATAATCATTGTACTGTGTATATACTATATGCAATTTTTTTTAAATTCAGATTTATCCTGTCATAGTAAACAGGATAACTTTTATATACAGCGAACTACAGATAACTTATTGTTAATTGTGCATGCATGCAGGCACGTGTGTGTAGCGCAGTTGCTTAATTTCAACTAGAAAGAAAGAATATGACATATCTGAGCAAAATTTAGATTCTAAATTTCAAATGACTTTATACTATCGTTTGGACAATTTTTTTGCATACTTATATCTCATCGAAAATGTTATGTCTTATGTAAATGTTATGTAAATGTATATATGTCACATTCTATAAATAATACACATATGATCGATCGACAGGTCAATTGTAAAATTCATAAAATTCATAGAATACTTACAAATACGAGCATAACGAAAAATGCAGCCAAGTATGATGTTCGGGCCATCCACATGCTCACAAATCGGTAATGTTCTCCCGTTACCACGTTCCTGTTAAAATGATCAAAATTTAAACAAATTGCTCTTCAGCTCGATATCCGCGAGTCTCTAATACGTTCCAATACAGTTTTATTGTTAAATAATCATAAAATTCAAGAGTCGTTGATAACTGGCACAGTATATTTCTCAATTAGTACACGACCTTTTGGCCAGTAATACTGGTCAAGTATACCCCATTAGAAGTGGCAGCAAGAAATCTACAAGATTGAATAAAATAAGAGCAAATACAGAAGCTGAATATATGAAATATAAGAACGCAACCATAGTGTTGCATCAGCCTTCCACATTACCGGACGCCCTGACATGTCCTTTAAATTTGTATGGTTTACTGTGTGGTGTGATTCGTGTCCTCGACCATGTTCTTCTATATAACCGGATACTTTGATTTGTCACCCGCAAGCGTCAGCGACTTGGTTGGGTTCTTATATTTTATATATTCAGCTTCTGTATTTGCTCTTATTTTATTCAATTTTTATTTCTTGCTGTTACATCTAATGGGGTATACTTGGGGTATACTAAATCTAATACTCGATAAGGACCAGTATTACTGGACGAAACATCGTGTATTAACTGAGAAATACAGTGCCAGTTATTGTCGACAACTCTTGAATTTTGCGTTTTACTCGCTGGCGATCCACCTTTCTGGCGATTAAATAGTCATCGTGCGTATTAAAAGCCACGCTTACCGCAAAAAACCTTTGTTGTCTTCCTGTTCTGCTAGCGTCTTGATACTTGCCATCAACAAATCGTCATATCCCAAAAATTCATCTAATATAAACCGTGAAAATGCATCACCAAAACACTTGTCATTCAATGGGTCCAAGGTAACAATTTTAACAGGAATGTTTAGCCTTTGTCGTGCCGCTGGTGATAATCGCAAGAAACCATATTCCAATGAATATTCCACGATATATCCATCTTCTGGAAGTATAACAAAAAACTTGCGTTAGTAAAGGAACGTTAATCGATGTACGTATACACATTTCGCTCGTATACAATTTTATATTAAAATAATTAGTAAAGCAAGCACACGTCTGCACACATAATTTAAATATTAATCTCGGTTCTCGCAGTGAAACTCTCGCAGCTAAATAATGTATTCTACGTCTAGCGGTTTATTTACCTATCCTAGTTGTTTTATCAACATCCGATGTACGATCTTTTAGTCGTACGTTATCTTCATTTAAATGATCAGGCATTTCCGTGGAATTACCTTCTGCAGTCGTAAAAGATGACTTCTCTCCGGATGACTAAAACAGAATAGAATATAAATCAGCAATTTGTGTCGTATCTATTGCTTTTTAACAGGAAACACGTGCAAACACTGTGTCCTTATCAAATTTTATAAGAAACAAGCATCAAGCACTTTAAAACATGATCCTGTGCAAATTCTTTCTTAATTACAAAGTGTATAAATAATAAAAATTAAAGTTTTTCATATTTGTATTGTATATTAAGGTATTGTCGTTGAAATATTGTTGTCAGTACTTTGAGTCAGAAAACATACGTACTATTTTCTTGGCTATATTTAAACCACTCCAAAGCTTTGTTGACAATGATGGGCTCATCGTTGTGTTTGTCGTGCTTAGGTCAGGATTTTGCGTCTCTCCAGAGATTGTCGCACCCGTTATCAGATCTTGTTCGAGCAACGTTAAATTCTCATGGTTCCCTTCGGCGGGAACGCTTATAGCGTCCCGCTCTTCATCGACAGCCGACGGTTCGATATTTATAAAGCTGGTGCAACAAATAAACGAACACTTACTTACGTTTGCTCTCCGTGCGCAAGATGAACCAAAGCATTTCGACTTACCCATTCCTGGTTATTAGCGCTAGAGCATTAGAAAAATCATCTTTTTCCTGCCTCAGTTTCTCCTCTTTGGCATAACTCTTCTCTATGCTATAATCCTCGCCGCCGTTCCTGAGAATCTCGACTCTCAGTATGCCATCTCGCGGCCACTCGTTTCTTATATGTTCTAAGCAATTAGTTGGTGCACGTGAAAATACTATGTGGATGTAAGCCAATACAAAAAATGCCAATATAGCCTGCGAACAAAGAGAGAATTGCGACATCTTTCAACCGTGCCCCGGTTTATCTCGTTCCTATCTTATTTATTTTCACAGAGTCACGTGGCGCAATCTAATGTAGGTTCAATTAGAAGAGTCTCGTACGTACCTTCAAAAGGACTATAAATTCTATAAATCTCCTGACAGGCCTTGGAAATGTTCGTGCGTAGGCTAGCGCCGCTTTGATAAATAACGCATGAAACAACCTATCCCGCACGTTAATCAGCGGGTTTTGATTATTGTTATTTCTAGCTATATTCATGTTATTATTATTTAGGACTGGTCCTATAACACCAGCGAGACTGTGAAGATTGTGTGCTACCGCACCGTTTTGATTATTAGGCACTGCGACAGCGGCGGCGGCGGCGGCGGCGGCAGCAGCACCATCTCCTTGCGACATTTTTATTAAATATTACATAAGTGTCCCCCCGCGAGTATGAGGATCCAGGAGAATTCGTATACGATAATTAACTACATAAAAACCACCATATTTACACATACGTAGTGTCGCATCTGTCACTCGACGCACCGAAACATCGTGCTCTGAAACAAATGAGATTTTTAATCAGCGACATCAATCGATTCGTTAGATGCACGCGTATTACAGTCTGAAATTTGCAAACGGCACGACGGCACGTGAGGGGAAAAAATCGAAATAACCTCTTTCTTTTGCAACAACATCTGAATATTTGAAAAACAAGGGAAAAAAACGAGTTGCGAGAGACGGCGCTCCGAGAGGAATCGCGGGTCTACAAGGTAGTCGCATTGAATACAATGAGACATAACGAATCGCGCATAAAAATACATATGCAAAACGGCAGGCAAGAGCGAGTGCTGTTTATCATTTGTTCGTTACGTAATTTTCTGGCCGAGTAAAAAGAGAAAACTTGTCAATCGTCCAGATATCAATCGTCCAATCTCCTCTCGTAACCCGCGGTCGAGTACGTCCCATAACCCATATGGGAGGACGACGCGTCTCGGTGCGTGACACTTGGCGCACGACGACCGGCGATCGTCGCCAAATCCCCGGCTGTTTTCGACAATCTGTTTTACTCGACAACAAGAAATCTGGCACGTCATACCTCGTGAGATCGGCGATGGACACCAGCTATTAGTCTATTACCAACGGCGAACGGCCAACGCCGCGCGATCCCGACGGCACTGTCACCGACCTGGTCGCACGCAGCTTCCGTCTCGTCTCGCTAGAAATCGTACGAGAGCCGTCGAGTGCCGCTGCCGTGTACTGGCCTGGCAAATACGACAGAACTGCCGAAATTGTCACTTCATCGTCGCGTATGTTTTGATGCGCACCGTCGTGTAGGCTCGATTGGTCGTTTCACTGACTCGCCTTGTCTCGCCTGCACGCGCAGGTCCACCAATGCGTGGTCAACAGTGCCTGTGTCCAGCAGAAGTTTGCGCTTGCTAAGCGCTTTGCGTTCATTGGATTATACTTTCAGATCTGTGCTGAAATAGAGCTATTCTTCTAGATCTATCCAATCAGCATAAAGCGCTTATTCTTAGCTAACTTCGGCAGAACACAGCCAGTGCGAGTCGCATAGTCGTAGTCGTAAGAATAATCGACCGCGATTGGTCAATTCCGTCAGACACATAAACCGTGCTTTCCAGCAAGCGACACAAGTCGACACAAATGTCGTTCTGTCTTTCTTCGCATTCAATGAATAATAAAGACAGAACGACACTTGTGTCGACTTGTGTCGCTTGCTGGAAAGCACGGAAAGCCTCCGCTACAATGATTCTCGGTTCTGTCTACAATGGTCGTAGTCGTAGTCGCTCGATAAAGCCTCCGCTATGATTCTCGGTTCTGTCTACAATGGTCGTAGTCGTAGTCGCTCGATAAGAATTGACCAATCGCAGTCGATTATTCTTACGACTACGACCATTGTAGACAGAACCGAGGTCGTACGACAAATTTTTCAAGCGTGTCGATTGGCCGCTGAATAGAAAGTTTCTAGATACTCGAAAATTTTACTATCCTTCAGCCAATGGCTGTGTTCTGCCGAAGTTAAGCCCGCTGCAGACGATGCTATTTTTTCTGCTGGATTGCTTGCGATTTAGTAAATTACTATCATTGCACCACTCAGGATGTGTTCGAAAATGGATTTAGTTACTGCCAGTGAAAACAGTATAGTTGGTAGCAATGAAAATTACTGGTGCTGCGTTTTTCGCACGCCAGTAAAGTCAGTAAGGCTGGGTCTACATTGGATGTCGTAAGTCGAATA